CCTACTCTCACATTCCTAGTTTCCATAATTGTAAACTGGATGGGCTACTGTCAAAAATCTTTTTAAAAAGTATATAAATGATATAAGGCATGCAAATCATCTTAGTCCTTGGAGAAGCAGAATACCAGAGGTTCAGAGGTTGTCCAGGTGTGTCCTGAGGTAAGTCAGTAAGCTGTCTGAGTCTCTTATCTGAGTCTCGCTATCTGTAAAATCAGGATAATCTCACCACATGATAATATTATGAGGATTCACTGAAATAGTAATTAGCAAGGTATTTAGCAAGTGAATAATATTCAGAAATTCTCAGTATTTGTTAGGTTTCATTTCATTTTTCATTCTTTCTAAGCTCATTATTTCCTTTCCTGTTTAGTAAAAACAATTTTAACTGCCCTTAATACATCATAAAATCTTATTAGAAGATATTCTAACTATAACTGATTTTAAGAAAGGTCCTTAAACACTGGTGTGTTACAAACACAAGGCAGTCTTATAATGCATTTACTTATTCATTCATTCATATGACAGACGTTTAGCAAGCACCAGTTTTGTGCTAGTATTGAGCTATACAATGTGTGAATGCAAAGATGAATTAGATGCATTCCCTCCCTATCATGAAGTAATTCACAACCTGTTAGAAAAGGACAGATTTGGACTGGAATACCTAAACATATGAGGCAGTACATAATTAATGCCACGAATATAGTAGAATGAAATGCTATTCAAACATGAGAAAGGAAGCCATCATTTTCTGGATGCAACATTCAGAAAAGAAAGAATTTATGAGAGCATCACTATCTGCTCTGGTCTGTGAAAAATGCATACAACTTTGTTAGGGAGAGATAGCCACTGAGTCATTCCAAAAAGAAAGAAATGTTCAGAGGGAAAAAACAAAGAAAAGACCATGTATATTTATGGACAGGCAATTTAGTCTAGCCTTGCAGGAATCTAGGATATATCTCTATCTCTCTATCTCTATATCTATCTACCTACCTACGTAACTACCTAACTACCTACTATATCTATCTAGGCATAGGAACAGGACACTAGAAATGTAGACTTAAATGTGAGATGCTCAGCGGTTTGTAGGTGTTTTTTTCTTGGCAGGCAATGGGGAGCTTTTGGAGAAATTTATAGAATGGAATGCCATATTTAAGTTGTTTTAGGAACACACCTGTCAGGCAGGATACATATGAATCTGGAAGATGCTAGAAGGGGGGACTCCTTATGAAGCTGTTTCGACAGTTCAGGTGTGAGGTCATAAAGAAGAGAATTAACATATGACTCCAGGGAATGGGAAGGTAGCCAGGGATTCAAAAGATATTGTGGAAGGAAAATCAACAAGATATGAGAACTTATTGCATAAGAAGGTTGTACATGGAACAGAAGGGTCCACAAAGGATTTTTTTTGAGTATAGTTGACACAGAAGAAACTACAGAAGACTGGCAGCACTAGAACTTTGTTACAAGAGGAAAGTAGCCGGAGGGGAAAAGTGAAACAGCTCAGTGTAAATGTCTCTGTATGTAATGAAAGAAATGAAAGAAGGACAATGGCTTCACAGGGCACCTCTGTAGGGAGCTTAGTGATTAGGAGCTCAGAACTCTGAAGCCAGACCTTGTGAGTCCAAATTCTGGTTCTGCCACTTAGATGCTGTGTGACTAAAAGCTAGGTACTTAAACTCTCCAAGACTCAGTTCCCTTATTAGAGAAAGAGGCATAATAATTATATCTATCCCATGAGTTGAAGAGCTAGAATTCATTATAAATTCCATAAAAGTTTTTGTACTTATTAGAGTAACACTGAAAGCTGCAATGGAGCATGGAGGAAACATGACATACAGTAGAGTAGAGAGAAGCAACTGTTAATTCATTCACCTAAATTATCTTGATTGAAGCCTCCCAGGCTCTGTTCTGAGTATTAAGGATATGAACTGATCACAGAGACAAAATCTCTACCCTCATAGAAATTACATTAAAATACAGGAAACAAACAAACAAATACAAAAATGTGAACAGGATGGTCAGACACATTAATAAAGAAAAACAAAGCAGAATATATAGAGCAGAGAGTGACCACAGATGCTATGTGTGACATTTGTCAGGGAAGACCTATAGTGGGAGCTGTTGAACACAGAATTGAATGAAATTAAGGAAAAGGCATGTAAATATCTATGAAAAGAGATTCCAGGGAAAGAGAAGAGCAAGTGAAAAGTCCTTGCATTTGAACGTATGTTATTATCCAAAGAACAGAGGGGAAGGCTATGAGGCTGAAAAGGATTAGAGTAGTAGCAGGAGATGAAATGAGAAAGGAGTCCAGAGGTTTTATCACATGGGGCCTTGTAGGACATGGTAAAATCATGGATTTCACTCTATATGTTACGGGAAGTTAAGAAGAATAACATCATCTAATTCATACAATTGAATGGCTGCTCTATAGACAACTCGCTACAGGGGCAAGAGCTAAAGAAAAGAGACTAGTTACAGGTTTAGAACTGTGGTCAAGAATCTGTAACAGATGGTGGTGGCATGTGTTAGGACAGAGCAGTTGAGATGGGAAGGAGTGGTCAGATTTGGGACCAAATCAGGTATTGTAAGCAAGAACTGTAGTACTGACGAAAGACTGAATTTGGGGTGTGATGAAATTTGGATTAAAGAGTATGAAACTAGAGTTTTCAACAAGAGTAAATGGATGAACTGTGGTAACATTTATTGAAATAGGGAAAGAAGTAGGAGGATCAAGTTTGGAGGTGGGAAAGGCAATTATGAAAAGTAGGATCTCCATAGCTATATTGCCTATTAGACAGCCATATGGAAGTATTGAGTCAATGGTTGATATGAAAGTTGATATGGGTTATGATAAGAGATTAACTTAGAGATAAAATTTGGAATTTATTAAGATTTAGATGGTGTTAAGGCTCTCAGAACAAAATGACATCATAGAAAGATCTAGGTAGGTAGAAGAGAAAAGGCTGAAGACTGAGCTGTGGGGCATTCTCTGACTTAGAGACTGGGCATAAAAGGAGGAATAAGTAAAAGATACTCAAAAGGAGCAGCAATGGGAAAGAAAGAAAACCAGGAGCATTTAGTATACCATAAGGCAAGTGAAGATAGTGTTTCAGTCAAAAAAAAAAGTGAGAAGCTATGTCAAATTTTGCTGAGCATCTGAGACTTGACCATTTATTTTGACAATGTGGAGATTATTGATAACCTTGAAACTCCAGTTTCAGTGGACAGAAACTGTCTCATTAAAACTAATAAGGAAGATTACAAAGAGGGAAAAGCCAGTATAGACAACTTTTAAAGGAGTTTTTCGGGAAGGGAGAGGAATAGGCTGTAGTTGGAGGGGAAAGTAGTACCCAAAGATGGTATTTTATTTTTTATTTTTTTTTTTAAATTTTTTTTTTCAACGTTTATTTATTTTTTTGGGAACAGAGAGAGACAGAGCATGAACGGGGGAGGGGCAGAGAGAGAGGGAGACACACAGAATCGGAAACAGGCTCCAGGCTCCGAGCCATCAGCCCAAAGCCTGACGCGGGGCTCGAACTCACGGACCGCGAGATCGTGACCTGGTTGAAGTCGGACGCTTAACCGACTGCGCCACCCAGGCGCCCCCCAAAGATGGTATTTTAAAACAGCAGTGTGACAGAATGTTTGTACGCCAGTTGGAATTATCTATGAAGAGAGAAAATGGATGATACCAGAAATGGAAGGGATACTTACAAGATTCCCCAAGTAAGTGAGAAGGGATGGCAACAGGGGAAAGACCTGGCTTGAGACAGGAGCACAAACACATTAACTAGATTTGATGGAAGGATAAGGATACCAATTCTCAATGCTTCTCTCTTCTTGGTAATGTAAGAAGCCAAATTATTGGCTGAGCATGGGGAAAGAAGAGAGATTTGGGGAGTCTGAGAAGAATAGATATAAGACATTCATTTCATAACCCGAAATAATCCAAAATAATGAATGAATGGAGAAATGAGTGGCATTACCAAATACATGACTGCTAATACCTGGCAAGGAAGTCATGTGTTTTCTCCAGATAAATCAGCCGTTAGTAGAGTGGAGCTAATTAAATAGGGTTGAGTTTTTTTCTGGTGAATATGATGGGGAAGGAGGATCAACAGAGATGAGGGTGTTTGCAAGGGACTGAGGATTATAAATGACTATGACTTCTCAGTTGAGTTTGGAGGGAAATCAGGACAGGAAGCAGATGAGGGACAGTGGGAAGGTGTCAGAGTTAATGCAATGGAGGTCTTAGTGGGATTGAAGACTTGTTGGCAAGGGGGGAATAAAATAAGTGAGCAGGAAAGTAACAAATAGAAAAAAGGGATGATAGAAACTGAAGATTATAAGGGTTACAATGATTGGCTTAGTGCATGACACGGACTTGATGAATTGAGGTGGGAAGGAGCCAGTATAATTGTAGGCACCATAAAGGGACCAACAGTCTACTGTCATTGGATGAATTACCTACATGGAAATTATAATTACCAAGATTAATCACAGAGGTAACTAGAAGGGCGGCAATCCCTAGGTGTGCTAATATCTTCAGTAAATGTGGGAATATGACAGAAAACTTCAAAAATAAGAGGGTAGTAACTGGATATCTGTTAACACTTGCTTCAAGGGTGCTAGATTATTTAAAACTGGAAATGGGACCCATTAAAAAAGTAAAAAAAGAACAAACCCAACTATGAATGTGATCATTAGAACAAGATCAATAATAGTGACAGAAATTTCCATTCTTTTTATATAAATTTTTTTTTACAATTCCTTAACACTGTAGCCATCTGTTTTGCAATTGGATTATATACAAGAGAAACCACAATAGCAGTGTATGTTTGACTTCAAATTATAAATTAGGGTTTTAGTCATTCTTCATTTTGTCCAGATGCCCAGAAAATTCAGGGGAAACTCTAAATATTTTTGATAATTTGATATAGAAAAGATGAAAACAGAAAACCCTTCATTTCTTCATTGTGGTTCCAATCTTTACCCACCAGGATTGTTGGACTGAGCATCCATAGGAATCATAAGCTTGGCCCGAGGGGCTCGGCGGGCAGCCAGTGACCTTTCCAGAGTAGACATGGAACTCCCTGCTTCTTCAGTGTCTTGACCTACAAGAAAAACAATACTGAGAGATACACCTTTTTCAATGATGCAACACTTTACATAATTTCCAGCCAGGCATGCCAATGCCTTTTTTATTTTATTGATATTTAAATAATAATACCTACTTTTTTGTTACCCAATCAATATACTCCCATTGCACAAACATTAATAAAATGTATCATAACCTCATTACTCAGAAAGAACCATTGTTTATATTTTGTTCCTTATCAGGTTTGCTTACAAGTTTATATGTGAAAGTGAGAAGGTATATATTAATATATATATATTTTTTACTAAAGTTGCATTATACCATATATATCATTTTGTAAACTTCTCAATAATATGAATGTCGTTCTCTGTCAAGTCAGTGTTATTTATTTATGTATTTAAAAATGCTCATGTTTCTAAGTTCATGAGCACCATCCATTTTATTTTATTTTATTTTATTTTATTTTATTTTATTTTATTAAGTACACTGTATGCCCAATGTGGGACTTGAATTCCTGACCCTGAGATCAAGAGTCACATGCTCTACTGACTGAGACAATCAGGTGCCCCAGTTTTATCATTCTTTAACAGTTCCATTAACATCCCATTGTATGAATTTACCACAATTTATGCAACTAGTACTTAGGACCCAAAGACATTACATCGTATTATAAAAACTCAGAAAATAAACTACATTTTTTAAAATAAGTCTAGGCATAGTTATATACATTTATTATAATGCCACAAAATGTCATTCTAAAGAGTCATTAAAAGTGGCAAGAATGGTTTGTGTAGATTTAAAATGTATATAAAAAATACATGTTGAAAGGCACCTGGGTGCCTCGGTTGTGTCTAACTTCGGCTCAGGTCATGATCTCACAGTTCATGGGTTCTAGCCCCACGTGGGCTCTGAGCTGTCAGCCCAGAGCCTGAAGCCTGCTTCGGATTCTTTGTCTCCTCTCTCTCTGCCCCTCCCCTGCTTGCTCTCTGTCTCTGTCTCTGTCTCTCTCCAAAACAAATAAACATTTAAAAAAATACATGTTGAGAACAATAAAACTGAAGTTTTGAATAGTATGTGTATCATTTGTGTAATATACATATGAAAGCATATTATATATACATACACATTTGTATGTGTATAAATATATAAATGTAAATATATCTGTATATTATATATTATATATGTCGTGTGTGTGTGTGTGTGTGTGTGTGTGTGTGTGTGTATATTTGTATACAAAGGTTACACACAAAATTCTTAACATTGCCTTCCTTTCATGAAAGGGATAAGGAATTTGGGGATGGGGAAAGGCACTTATACTTTTTACTTCCTTTGGATATTATTTTCACAACTTTTTGTACTATTTTTTTTCTTTTAAAATTACATGCACATGTTCTTTTTTTAAATTAAAATAGTAGTTAATAAAATTCAAAATTTAAAATACTGATGGGGGAAATTTCTATGCAGCCCAGATAATGGCAGCTGCCTAGATTTGTATCTGTCCACACATCCTCCAAAAATCTATACAGAACTATACAAGACAATAAAGCCACGCAAGATGTATCCTTTTGAAATGACTAAAGGAGAAAGAACAAACAAACTCTGGATTTCCTACAGGCACAAAAATAAATAATACTTTCCAGCAAATCTATGACTCAAAGTTGAATATTTGAAAAAACTACACAAAAGACAGAAGAGGGGAATAAGACTCCTAAGACTGACCTAAAATCATTCAGAAAAGTCTACCCTACGGAAAAATGTTTTAAAAGTTTCCTAGTAGACCAGAGCACTTAAAAGTATACTATTTATTGACATGGAGTTTTGTTCTTTTAACCAGGAGAGTACAGAGAATGCTTACTATAATGGAAAATATAACCAGCAGGATTTTGAGTGCTACTTTCCTTTTACTATAGAGTTGGCAAGTAGGTCCTCAAATTAAAAACAAATAGGCACAAGAACCCTGTCATTCTAAAAAAAAAAAAAAGAAAAAAGGAAAAAAAACCAAAAGAAAAAAACCAAAAAAACAAAACAGCAATCACTTGAAGTTAAGCTTCTTCCAGGACTTATTAAATGATCAAAAGTAGTCTGGCTGTCCCCACTCCAAATGCCATTTTAGTATATAAATGATATAGGGAAATATAAAGAAGGAGGAGTCCTAGAAATAATTGGCAAAATCTTCTGCGGGCTGAGAAGCAATTCTGTCCCCTCCAGTGGGAGGCAGAGGTATGCTCTCCTCCTGATGCCCCACTAGGAACCAAAGCTGCCAGAATAAACACCTGTAAAATGTGGAAGTTCCTGCAAAAGAGATCTACCTTTCATTCACTCTCCAGATAGTAGTCTCTTCAGGCAGCTGGCTTGCTGGTCTACCCTGTGTATATTTAATCAGAAGAGGTTATTGAAGAGAGCAAGACTGAAAGAGTGACAGCAGTGGAGTATAAGCTCTCTCATCATTTGGCCTGGAAAAGAAGTAGGAGCTTCTTCTGGGTCAAGTGTGCACTTGAAAAGTTGCTCAAGCTTGAGTCTTCTTGCTGGAATTCACCCAAGTGCACCTGACCCACCTAAAACAGTGAGGGTAAAAGAGCTGTTCTTGGTAGGAGTGGGGTAAGCCTTGACTTGATATCTCACATGGTGTAATGAGCCAGGGGAAGAATCCCACAGGATCTCATAAATAATTCATACTTGTGTTTCACAAGAGACCCAGAATTTGGATGTTGCGTGAGGACAGTCCATGTGCTCACAAAGCAGCACAGCCCTTCAAACTGTCCTTTCTGCCCTCTCTCCTTGCCTCTCTTCTCATCTCCCTTCCCCATCCTCCTACAAAGCCAGGAAGAACAAATAAGTAGGAGGAATAAGTAAAGGTGTTTCTGAAACAGACTGTGCCCCCTCCTCCTGTCCCATCCCCACCTCTCCTCCAATGTGCTGGAAGCTTTAAAGAACAAATTACAGCCCTAGTCCTCAGAGTCAAAAGTCTAGCTGGCCATAAGGAAAGGAGAACCTTTAATGTAGATTTCAGATGGCAGTTTTGGACAGAACCTGAATGCAGGTTAACCAAATGAAAATGATGGGAAAGTTAAGGAATCTGCTTGAGATATTCCTTAAGAGCTAGAAAAAGTATATTCAACAACTCATGGTTAAAAATCAGTAAGTGAATTCCTTGTTTAAACAATTCTAAGCTGAAAAAGTCTAGTAAGCCAGTTACATATTCCAATAACTAAAATATTTTAATTCAGTTTTAAAACAACGGCTATTCATTCTGCAAACACATGAGTAGACTAAGAGTTGAGTTTTGTTTTGTTTTGTTTTGTTTTGTTTTGTTGATCAGAGTACTTGGTTGATTTTTCTGCTTTCCATAAGCAGTTCAAAAATATGATGACTAACAGAAAGTGAAATATCTTACAACCACTTTTTAGATTTTCTTAGTTATTCCTAGACATGGATTGTTCTGTGCCTATTTATTAAACAGTAGGCTTTTTTCTTCTGATCACGTTGTATGTCAACATCACCTGCAGACAGACTCCATCAAACTAGGCTAGTGATCATATAATGTGATTACACGGGGACAAAAGTTGATCTTTACAGTAACCAAGGCTGAAATAACAGGAGATGTTATGTTATTATCTTCACGTGCCATGTGACCCTAGTGTGATTTTTTTTAATGCAATGAATTGAGAGCAAATTTTTTAAAAACATTTTATTAGTTTTTGAGAGACAGAGAGCATGAACAAGGGGGGGCAGAGAGAGGGGGAAACACAGAATCTGAAGCAGGCTCCAGGCTTTGAGCTGTCAGCACAGAGCCCGACATGGGGCTAGAACTCACGAACTGTGAGATCATGACCTGAGCCAAAATACGATGCTTAACTGACTGAGCCACCCAGGTGCCGTGAGAGCAAATTTAAAATCAACTTTCAATTATCCATAGACATAAGGAATGAAAAAAATGTACAAATACCTTCACATTTTGACAAAACTCTCATTCGAGATTTAACAAAAAGCAGTAAGTTCATTTGGCTTTCACATTTCAGTATTTCCCAAATGTGCCACCTGTTACCTCTTAGAAGTTTTAAATAACGTTGCAGTTATAAAAGGCAGGTAATAGGATGCTGGAAAAGAAACTAGTTAATCAACCGAATTTACATCAGATTATTTTAACTATCGGTAAATGACCCACAGATTGAAGGGAAAGATGTCTCCATCAGAGAGGAGACAAAGAGGAAACTTTTTGTAAATAAAGTTTCAGAGTGGTGGGGGGTTGTCCTGATGCCTGAGATGAGAGAGTTACCTGAATGAGAGGTGCTTTTGCTCCCCAGCTGGGTTTCTGACTGGCTGTGGCTGACTGGTGTGAGGTCTTGGCAACTTTGGATGGGGGAGTCCCTTCCTGTAGGGTCAGTACCTGATGGCTTCTCAATATTTTTCATCTCCATTTCTTCATGATGTATCCAAAGATCAGGGGGCCTGAGGTCCTTCTGGCTGCCCTTCCTTTTGCCAACACTGTGGGTGGCCCGTTTCCTATGGAAGAAAAATTAGAAAGCAAATGTGAATGCTTCTATTCAGTGGTCCTTCCTCTCTTTTCTCAGTCAATTCAAGTTAGAAGCAGAGAAGGATAGAAGGGGCTCCCAGGAGGAAACCTGTGAAATCCAGGAATTGGCAGGCATGTGTTGGCTGCCTTTCCTTGTCTCCCCTGGAGATTCACCACATTATAGGAGCAGTGGTGCTGAATCCCCAAGGCCTCGGCTGCCTGCCAGAGAGTGCCTGACTCTAGCTTCACCAGCTACAAATTCCCCACAAGGTTACAATGGGTGAGATGGAACCATATGCCAATCTTTGGAGCCAGTCATAAGATACTTCACTGCAACATCTGTTTAGGAGATAAATGAAGGAGTCGTGTTGAAAGGGCAAATGGAAATAAAAAGGCCAGAATTTGTGCCAGCCAAGACTGGGGTTTAGAAGAAAGTCTGTAGCTCAGCTGTATAATTTAATGTGCTATTTGAAGACAAAAGGCCGAATGAGGACACTCTAAGGAGAATAAAAGCACTTTTGCCTTGGAGTTACTAAGTATCTGGATGAAAACACAGTAGGATCCATCCTTTGAAAAGAGAAGAATACAGTTTAGAAGTATGCTTCAATTATCTCCTATTTTCCTCAATAAGAATTTAGCAACCATAAATTCATTTTTCAGTGGTAGTCTGTTTTTGGGGCTAGTCAGATTCAAATGCTCCCTTTAGGCTAAGTAGCATGATACTCGTGGCTAGTCATTCTCTACAGTAGGCATCAGTAAAGTATGGCCTGCAGACCACATCTGCCCACTGCCTCATTTTGTAAATAAAGTTTTATTGGAATCCTACTGAACTCATTTATTTTCACACTGCAGTGTGTCGAGTGGTTGCAACAAAGAATGTATGACCCACATGTCTCACAAAACCTCAAACATTTACTATTTGTCCCTTTTCAGAAAGTTTTCAACCTCTGCTTTACAGTTCTAGTTTTTAAAATCTCTGCTTGTATCTTCTATTGGTAATAATGTCTCTTCTAAGACAGAATTCAGATGGTTTAAATCCAACATTTGATAGAGCCCCAGAGAGAAGTAACTCCCTCTCACTTCCTCCCTTGCGACAAATGGTTTATGAGGATAGCTGTTTTCATGGTTGCTAAATGACTCAAACAAACCACTTCAGTGAAAACTCTTTGTAACCTGTACAGGCCACTGAGAGCGGCTTCATTTTCCAATGCTGAAAATAACCTTTGCATTCGTCAATTAATACATGCTTAGTGATGTGACTTGCTGAATTTTAATATATTTTTATCTTTTTTGAAGTGTGCTGATAAGGATAGGAGACAAAGAATGCCAGACTTAATATTTATCAAGTAGTTTAGTACAGAAATAATGCAGTATTTTCTGTTCTAATATTTTCCCTACAGCTCCCGCATTTTGCTGATTTCTTGGCAGCAGTCCCATACTGACTCTGACAATGGTCTGTAATAACCTTTAGATCATTTTCTTATATCTAAGATAATAACTCTCTGCTAACCATCCATTCCCTGAATTCATTTCCTTATACTTCACCTGCCCAAATGTACTAGTCCGCAAATGACACACAGCTCGCAATGTAATCTACCCCTGGTCACTTCTTAGAACAATCTAATGTCATTTTCAGACTTGGAGATTTCACCCTGTTATCTTTCTAACAAATCAAAATGCTAAAACACTTTTTAATCCCAGTGCCTATCAGACTGAATACAGAGAAGTACCAGTTCCCAAATCCAGGATAAGATGGCCAATGTTTTCATAATAACTCAATATTTAAATAGGTGTGGGAGGGAAATGTGTCAAATAATTTTTTAAACTAAAAATAAGTTATGAATTCTGGTTTCCTCTTGCTTACACACATGCCTCATTCATTCATTCATTCATTCTTCATTCACCAGCCCCTATAATCTCAGTACCAAGCATCCACAAATGTAGTTTACTAAAAAAAAAATTCCAAATCTGACTGAGGTAGAGCTTTTTTGATTTATAGCCTCCATCTGGGAAAAAATTATCATTCTTCATAAAATGCATACACATTTTTCTGATGGATTTTAGTTAGATTAAGACCTTTTCTGAGAAGCTACTCATCCACTTAGCTGTCAGCCAAGAATCTAAAGACTCTAGGGGAGCCTGGGTGGCTCAGTCGGTTAAGCATCTGACTCTTGATTTTGGCTTAGCTGGCAATCTTGCAGTTGGTGAGTTCGAGCCCCAGGGTTGGCTCCGCACTGATGGCACTGAGCCTGCTTGCGATTCTCTGTCTCCCTCTCTCTCTGTCCCTCCCCTGCTTGTGATCTCTCTCTCTCCCCCCCACCTCTCTGTCAGAAAAACATAAAAAATAAACATATAAAAAAAACTTAAAAAAAGAATCTAAAGATTAAACAAATTTTATTTCCTTTTTGTATATATTCTATGAAAGGGCATCTACTAACTACTTTTGTTTTCTATCATGTCTCTTATCAAGAAGGAATTCTTTGACCTTGGAGAGGCCTCCCTTCCCTGCGGGTGGTAGTAGCCCAGCCACCAGGTGCAGCAGGTTTTGTAATAAAACTGACATTTGCTCATAACTGAACTGAGATTTGTCTTAAAACCTGAGTTGTCATCTCAGCCTTCTGTCCATCTGCTGGTTCTCTGATACAGGACCCACTGTGGTCCCCTTGATCCTCTGTCTCATCATTGGAATCTTCAAATTTGTATGCAGATGAACCTGTGCAATGGGTCCTGAGGTGTGGTCCTTGGACCAGCAGCATCAGCATCACTTGGAAACCTGTTAGAAATGCACGTTCTCAAGCTCCACTGCAGTTCAGAAACTTGCAGATGGGGGGTGAGAGGGTGCAAGTGGGCAGGAGAGGGTGGGGCCCAGCAGTCTGTGATTTAACAGCTCTCAAGGGAAATCAGATGCACTCCAAGTTTGAGAAACACCACCTTAGTGAATTTTTTTTTGTTTTTATTTTAAACCTAGTTTTTGCATTAGATATACAATATGTCACATGTTTGTCCCTCCCTACATGCACCCTTTCTCACAGGTACCAGTAATCTTCCAGCTTCCAAAAACAGCCATAGGATGCCAGGGTCTCTTCTCACCCCATGGGCTATTGAATAAAGGCAAAGCAAGCATTCTTTCAAGGTTCTCTGCTGTCTCTTTCTCATACTGGGGGGCAAAGTTTTCACAGCATAATCAAGTGTTAGTGTTTTTTGTTCTCTCTCTCCATCTCCCTCCCTCTCTCATTGTACTTTTGCCCAGAATGCCTTCACAATCCTATTTACTTACAAACTACTGACTCTTAAAGACTTTCTTCAAGCCCTTCTTCTTCAGGAAGCCTTCCTGACCATGCTAGGTCAGTGTCATCTTAACATACCTAAATCATTTCCCTTGTCTCTTTACCACTCACCTTGCATTGATGACCGTCTGTCTTACTGAGCCGGCCAGATGCTCCCAGTGTGTGTATTGATTTCCTCCCGTGAGACTACAGCAAATTCTGTTTCATTCACTTATCCAACATCATCCGTTGTTTTGCAACATGTATTCATTTATTTATTCAGTGAACATTTACAGAATACTGAGTATGTGCCAAAAAAATGTGCTAAGTACTAGAAATGCAAAAGATAGGTGAGACATTGGGAGCTTAATAAATGAATGGAAAATGGCATGGCTACTATGAATTTCTGCATTGTTGGAGTCATGAGCAGGCAACGGATCATGGCAGTTGGTAAAGCTGAAAAAGTGGAGGGACCAAATCACAGGAGGCCTTGCCTCCAACAGAAATATTTTTAATAGTATCAGGAAGTCAGTGGGGAATTGCAGAAAGATCTTTAGCTCAAGAGTTAACATTAATCAGATCTGTTATTTTGTATAATGCAGATTACTTACTGAACACATAGTAATTACTTGAATTAAATAATGAGAATTTTTCATTATCGACTTGGAAGTATTTTTTTTGGCAAGATTCTCTGATTTTTTATTGGCTTCTGTGTTTCTTACTTTGCGCATAACCTATTACTATAAGAGAAGTTTGTTTCCTCAATCACTTTTAATCAGTATGTTTAGGATGTGAAAGGGTAAAAGCCAATATTGGTTTAGTATCCATTTTATTCAAGACTGTGCCCTTTGAAGTTCTACAAAACTATCATTTCACAGATTCTTTTGCACATTGTAATAAACTATTAAATCCCCTTCTCTGCTTAGGCATCCTCTGTTCAAGTCCCTCACAGGAGGCAAATAGTGTTGTACTAATTCTTGTGGTCAGATAGGTGTGTGTCCAAGATCTGATGGAAGGTTGAGGCAAGAACACTTTGCCCCACTGGGGATTTACAAAAGGTTTCAGAAAGGAAGAAGAGCTGGAGGGCATGTGAAAAAACGATTCAAGTTCACCAGGAAAAAATATATTAGGATGTATAAGTACCCGCCCAACTTCTTCCATCCAAATCTTTTCCAAAGGTTTCCCGCTTCTTAATTCTGTATATTGATTATTTTCATTCTGCCAACTGATATAAAAAGCAAAAGAAAACACTTGTATTGGAAACCCAGGGAACATGTGTCATAGATACTCAAATAAACCTGCATTTTCTGTGGTGGAATTAAGATATACTGAAGATATATTGAATCCTAAGGGGTTGCCTCTGTGGAATAGGGAAAAATAATTAAAATGTTAAAAATCTGAAAATCAGTGAATGTAACCTAAGCTATAGTAGATTTCATGTAAGAGTTTAAACATTTGATTGTCAGCATTGAAAATGATTATTTCTGTTAAGAATGTGGACTAATATTTAAAAGTTGCTGTACACTTGTCACATCAAATAGGACATTTAGTCAGTTGGTGACTCTATCAAGTAAAACTTGAATTTTATTTACATATTTAAATTTAATGTAGTCGGACAAGCTGTTGATAATCTACCCAGGTAACTGCCTTTAAAATGTGATAACCATGCGTCTTGGATTTCCAGCGTATTCTCAATGTCAAATCTTTTGTCTTTAGTATCTACAGATACATTCTAACTTATCATATTCCATATTCTATAGCTTGGCCAGGAAAATGTCATTACTTTATTAAAAGGCACAAAACCCCTCACCTACTCCCCATTAATTTAAGCTTTCACAAACACATTTTTTCCATCTTAGGATATTCTACTATGATTTCACTAATTCAAAATGTGTAAGGGGAGTCCCTCTTCAAAGTAGTAAGCGATTTTAAATTAATAACCAAAAAGAAATACAAAATTATTTTTATTTCATATCAATTTGATGCCACATGTTACCATGTGATTCTACAACTTGATAGCATTCCATGGGGAGTTTCAGTGTTCTGAGGTAGAGAAGATGACAGAATGTATTTATCCCTGTTTCTCATTTGAGGAAACTGACATTCAGGGATTAGGTTTCATTAACCACCACTAATTTAATTCAAGAAGTGGGGAATCAGAACCAGAACTTGGGTTCTACCTTCTGTTATTTTATATCGTAAAAACAAAACGGTACCAACTAGAATGTGAATCAGATAACTACCTCATTATTAAATAAATATGTGTATACGAAAAACCATACAATAAAATATATGGACATTAACTTGAATGATGTACTGCTCACAGTGCACATAAATATGCTTCAAATCCGTTGGATGCAATTCAAGAGCCCCAATAAAACACAAAGACAATTTACAGTCTCCAGCACCAACAGGTAAAGAGATATTGAAGCAGCTCATGAATGTGTTTCCTATTTCACTTTATTAATTACATGAAACTCTCATTTTTCTGAGGGTTCTGTAAGGGACATTACTTCTGTTTTAGATTGGAATTGATTTTGCTTTCATCTGCATCATTTAATTTGTTCAAAAAGTCTCAGTGATGGTGGTATCAGGGGGAAGGATCCTCAGTAAAATCAAGAAAAGTTAAATTAAAACTCAGGAATATCTTGAAGGAGAAATTTTTCTTTTTCACATTTTCTCTGTTAGTATATACAAACAGAGAGGCCAGGATGAAAGGCAATGGGTCTGTTACAGAAGAAAGATAGATGAGGAAAAATTGTGAAAATATGCCAAGTAAATATTAAGAGATTTTGAGTGAAGGCTGAGGAAAAACCAAAGTGGCAGTAGGACAGAAGCTATAAATTCACTTTCTTTGGTTTTCAGTCATTCATGGAGTGATTTATTCTTTCATTCATCTCCTAATCTAAAAATGAGTTCTATTGAGGGCTCAGCCTCTACTCTTTCCAAATAAAACCTTCAAGCTCTTAAGAAGTGCTTAGCATGGGATCTAAGACAATTTAAGAGTTTCTAAAAATAGCATGAAATGCCACTTTTGCACATGGAGAAGACTGGCATTTTCTCTGTGAGGAAACAAAATATGTCCAAGAATCCAATTCATCAGGTCCATATAATCCACCAACATTCTTTTCAAAAAGATGAAAATGAAAAAACCAAAACACCCCACTACAGGTGGTTCCGATGATTAAACTTAGTTTAGTGAACACATTCATGTTTTTCAAGCCATCATGAAATAGGCCAAGCTTGGTTTTGGTGCCTTCCCCACTTTCCTTCACGTGAATATTTCTCAGCTCTACTTCAGCGGCCTGTCACATAGATGTCTTCCCATTCTATGTCTGCACAGCCCCATTCCTGGGATTATTCCACCAAGAGACTGTCGAATGCCTCACCCCATTACAGTTCTTTTTTCTCCAGAGCCTCACTAAATGTCCAGCACACTGGAGGTTCTGTGTAATTATGATTTCCTAGAATGCTCACACATGAGAGTAAGTTAAGCTCAGTCTGCCTGGCTTCTTGTTTAAGCACAATGGATTAGCACATCAGCTATCACTAACTCGAAGATAGCCCAATTTCACACATGCAGCCAAATATAAAATTTGTCCTGCCATATAAATAAATTAAATACAAAGACTGCATCTACACTCATATGTCACTTTCTTTAGCTTGTACATCTTCCTGTATCCTATTTCTAAATACCTCACTTCAAAAGGTTGTAAGATACAATACAGATCAACAAATGGGTCATAGGCTTTTTAAAAAGAGAAACTAAGGTATTAGCAAGGGAAGAGAAACAACGATTTGTTAGAGAATCTTTCTCTGACACTGTGTGTAGCATATAGTTGTCAAATCAGCCACCTATAGGCCCAATGCCTCAGGCTTTCAGAGCCGGCACTATGCCTGAGGCCAAAGGGAAAAAAAAAAAATCAAGGGAAGATCTTATCAGAGCCAATTCAGTGAGAGAGTACAGCTGAAAGGGACATATCAGGCTGGATTTGAAAAGTGCTAGACAGGCAGAGAATAACCAGGAGATTATTGCTGATTCCCACAACTTCTGACACAAGGTTAATATGCTGGTTATGGATGTTGCTGGAAGGGGATAAACTGAATTAAAACCATCTTTCCATTCTAAACTTTGACTTTGATGTATCATCCTCTGCATGGGCTATAACCTAGAATTGCATAATATGGAAAATTTTTTTAAACCCCTCAAAACGTTGAATTTCTGAGAATCAACCACAGCCGGGAAATCCGAACATTGGGAATTTCTAGGATCTCTCTTCTATCCTAAGTACTGTCTCCAAACTAAATACTCCACTGTATTATAACTACATTGAGTTTGGTAGTCATCCGTGCATCAAGCATTGGTTAAATGCCTACAGGCCTCCTTGCCAGAATTGATAAATACTTTCAAAGGAACACACATCTCCAACATTTTACACATAATTGCAGACAGGGCCATGAATTGGGACATGGTGAAGTCCATTTTCTAAATGTTGCTAAAGGAACATGTGCCCTCCTCTGAAAGGAAGGATCTGGCCCAGAGAAGTCAAGTCAAGCAGAAATGCCAAGTGGGTCTCCAGGTGGATTCTATTATTAAGTCTGCAAGCCTAGCCCTCACTCACTCAAGTTATGGGCCTGAAATGAACAAAAGGCAAGGTTTTGCTCAGGTCAGAGGCTAAGGAATATGTGGTAAATTATGAAAAAGAACACCAAAAGAGATTTCTCAAAAATATAACTCAAGAAGGTGATAGGTCAAACCGTGACCTCTCTCCTCTCGGGAACCAGCTGTTACCTACTTTCTCTGCTGGGCTGAAGAGCGCCGGGTGCAAATCACAGCCACGATCACTACCACCAGCACTGTGATGACGCCAACGGTGACCACAATGATTACAAGCAGGTTGCTGTTCTTTTGAGGAGTGACACTGCCGTGTGGGGGGTGCATCTGGCCAATGGGTGGCTCTGGGAAAAGACAGGCAAATGGAGATCAGATTTAGGGGTTGTGACAGCTCCGCGTTTATCAAGCTGTTAAGGATGTGAATGTTCCTATTGTTCTGGGCATTCTTGAAGCTGGGGAAAAAAGCAATGAAAAATGAGAGGAAAGATCTATGTTACCTCCCCAAGAAGAAAATTAAATATATGTCCACACAAAATCCTATACGGAAACATTCATAGCAACATTATTTAGAATAGCCCAAAGTGGAAGCAACCCAAATGCCCATTGACTGAAGGATGGATAAACAAAATGTGGGGCTTCCATACAGTGGAATATTACCCAGCCATAAAAGGGAATGAGGACCTGATACATGCTATGACATGCATATACCTTAAAAATGTTACTCTAAGTGAAAGAAGCCAGACACAAAAGGTTAATATTGTACGATTCCACTTATACAAAATATCCAGAATAGACAAATCTGTAGAGACAGAATGTAGATTAGTGTTTGCCAGTGGATGGGAGGAATGAATGGGGAAGGACAGCGAATGGGTACAGGGTCTCCCTTGGGGATGGTGAAAATGTTCTGGAATTAGACAGTGGTGCTGGTGGCACAACCTTGTGGATGTAACTAAAAACCACTGACATCGTACACCTTCAGAGGGTGAATCTGTAGCACGTGAATTATTTCCCTCTTTTTTTTTTTTAAAGAATTAACCTGTCATATTGAGTAGAAAGTGGGGACAGGAGGAAGGCTACTTTGTACTACGAGTATTCCAGGGTTATGAGAACCACAGGAGGCTATGCTTTATGAGAAATCACTATTTATTCGAGGGTGTGAAGGACAAACTATTTGACTCCAATCACTTACAATTTATTTCCACTTTTTTTAAGGAAGCTATCTATAAAGCTTTAATTTTACATTTAATTTTCAACCTATTAAAAGTGCATGAATCCCACTTAAAAGCTGTCACTTGGTTCAAAAGAGGGTCATAAAATCCTGATATGAATGTTCTCTTGTCTTGCAGTAGTACCTCATGGTAGACAATGTTTAGGTGAAAATAACAGACAAGACATTTTTTGTTATAATTTGCTTAGGTAAACAAGAATGGCTAATGACACCTTAAATTGCTTTCTTTAAATATTCAGTAATCAATTAGAAATATTATGTCCTATGTTACGTTATTCACTAGAAGTAACAACATTTTAAAAGGTAAACAGTAGCTTGTTTTATTTATAAATTAATTTAAAGGGGTGCCTGGGTGGCTCAGTCGGTTAAGTACCTGACTTTGGGTCTGGTTGTGATCTCACCGTTCATGAGTTTGAGCCCCACATCAGGCTCTCTGCTGTCAGCACAGAGCCAGCTTGGGATGCTCTGTCCCCCCCCCCCCCCCCCCCCCCCCCCCCCGCCCCTGCCCTAACCCCCTCTCTCTCCCACTCTCTCTCAAAAATAAACAATTAAAAAAAAAGAAGGGTGCCTGGGTGGCTCAGTTGGTTAAGTTGTCTGACTTCAGCTCAGGTCATGATCTCACCGTTCATGAATTTGAGTCCTGCATTGGGCTCTCTGCTGTCAGCGCAGGGCCCAGTTTGGATCCTTTGTCCCCCTTTCTCTGTCCCTCCCCACCTCATTCGTTCTCTCCTTCTCTCTCTCTCTAAAATATAAACATTTAAAATATACACATATAGGGGCGTCTGGGTGGTTCAGTCGGTTAAGTGTCCCTCCGACTTCGGCTCAGGTCATGATCTCACAGTCCGTGGGTTCGAGCCCCAAGTCAAGTTCTGTGCTGACAGCTTGGAGCCTGGAGCCTGCTTCAGGTTCTGTGTCTCCCTCTCTCTGGCCCCTCCCCGCTTGTGCTCTGTCTCTCTCTCTCTCTCTTTGTCTCTCTCAAAAATAAATAAAAACATTTAAAATATATACTTAAAAATTAATGTAAAAAGTCACAGAAAGCAATGATTTTGTATATTTTCCTAGACCTAAGTTTGAATGTGCTTCTTTAACAAGCTATGTTAGCTTTTTATACCTCCTGAGTGAAGTATTTAGGCCTTTTACACCCTCAGTGACTTTGTCTGCAAAATGGAAATAATACCGGCATTGTCAGAATTAGAGAAAATACATACAAAATGACCATCTCAGCACCTGACAGGGAATAAATCAAAATCAAAACCAAAACACTATCTTTTGACAAGTTATCTAAGAATCATTGTTTTTTTGAAACAATAGTCACCTAAATTTAAATTATTGCTGATTCATTGTTATTGGAAAAATATTAAGCACTTCTGATATAACTTGAATCTCAGGGGAGGAACTCATCAAAAGTGTTTAAATAGCACTTTCTGTTAAACATTCTCTTATAAGTGAAAGAAATAAGATATCCTTGAAGTAATTTTTACATTTACTGCAAAGGAATGAGGCAAGTAATAAAAGGTCAGAACTTTCTGTATCATAGTTTTACTTACAATTTAAAAAGTCATTTTACAGTAGTATCTCAATATGCCCTTTCTGTGCTTAATAAATTAATTGATTGGAATAAATTAACCTTTTATGTGAGAACTTACAATGAAGACAGTTGGAGATATCATGGATTTTTATTAGCATGACTTCAATTTAACAGTTCACCATTTCTGACAAACTTAGTTTCAGTCATACAGAACAGTACACCTAATGAACATTTTTAAAACCTTGTAAACTAGAATTTTTCAAATTTCTACTCATTTCTTTTTCCTCCCCACCCAGAAAGGCATCATGTTTCAAGTGTGAAAGGAATGACTCTGGACTTTGCTGAACATGAATGAGATTATATCGATGCCATTTGCCTTAGAGAGTTAGGGATCATGAGGACTCCCATTATAAATCTTTGATACCAGGCCTTTACGCCTTCCTCATAAAAGTTCCCATCAGTTTGAAAGTTGATATTCAAGGTCTTTCATTAATTTCCCCATCTCAATTCAAAGGCTGAACAATCAGAATATTTGACATCAATGGGCAGTTAAGAAAGTCAAGTGGAATGGAATCTTTTGATGTCGCTGACCCTCATTATCTGTGGTAATTTGTTCTGTAGAGTTGCTGTAAACACTGAATTAAGGAATACTAAGTATTGCTGCTGGAGGCAATGCAGTGTTAGGTTCCTGGGAGCCTCTGGTTACAACATTTTTATCAATCAATATATAACCTTGTTTTATATGTGTTTCTTTTTAAAGACACTTTATTTAATACATAATGTTCATTCATTGACATTGAACTCACAGTCAACAACATCATAACTCATGCTTGAGTGAAGCTTAATTAACACACACATTTTCTCCATAAGCTACAGCATACAGCCTTTTGCGTGTAGGAACAGTAAACAGCACTTCAGCACTACACTTAAGGCCACTTTAAACCCTGAAACCACCACTAAAAATGCACAAAAATGTAAAAAAAATTGGCACTACATACACTGTAGAAAGGACGCTTGTTTACACTGTGAGAGCTGAAACAATAAGGCAGAGGGTCATCTTGTTTATTTCAGCTGAGTTCGTGAGCACTGGGCTACTCAAACTTTTGGCTGCTCTGCGCATGTCCACAATGACCATAAAAGCATTACAGGTATTGATTTTGGTGGTTAAAAATAAATTCTAGCAGTAAGTGAATTCACAATAACAATCTGCAAATAATGACAATCAACCATATATTTGAACACATCAAAAGACTGTTGCAAATTAGGGAAAATGTTAGAGCTCATCAATCTAGATCACTACAGATAAGAGTTCTGGAAGACAGCCTGACTCCAGAAGAGGCAAGATGACATTTACTATCTTTTGGGCTTCAGAGGGGAAGCTTCATGATGTAATTCAGAGATTTGCAAATATCCTTCTGGACACTGTGATTATTTCATGAGATAATGGATGCAACACACTGGCCACAGGCCCTGACACAGGGTTGGCACTCAATAGACATTATGAAGTGCTTCAATATTCATTCTATGTGATCTTTCCAACTTAAAGAAAAATATAGTGTCCTGATATATCTGTTCCTGTTGTTACTAAAATAGCTTGGGTATCCAGTGTCTTGGTAATCAAAGACTTAGATGCGTTTCATTAAAATTGGTGAGAAGAGAATTAAATTTTGAAAAGTCACATGGGCATTCCATCCATTCTTTATTTTCATAACGTTTGATTGCCATAAAATGTTTCAACCTTTTTCTACTACATTTAATAAAAATAAATATATACTTCATAATCTTATGGGCCTAAAGTCTCAAGTAATAATTGGAAAATTGGTTTCATGAAATAATAATGTCTTTAATTTTTAGAGTATTTGGGAGAGAACAGATCCAATGATTGCTTGGGACTAAACTTCTTTCCTACATTTGCAGTCTTCCCTGATAACAATTTTGTTATTATAACACTTTGAGCTCAACATATGTCTCAATAATTTTACAGGTCTTTGAATTTGAACAGAAATTCCTATGGAATTGAATATTTCAAAGCATCTCCCCCTGAAATAAAGTGCTATATAGTCAACCAGCTGGAAGAAACTTTACAGATAATCTAGCCCAATGTTCCCTAAAATGAAATATTAATCAGCATTATGGGGTTGGGAGGAAGTTCCTTGGTCAATTAAGTTGGAAAACATATTTCCTTTCTCAAATCTCAGAATTTTGAACATGCTAACGTGAACTGTGAATTGCTAGGAGAGATAGGGCAGGCACAGTAAAGAATATACCCAATTATTCTAGAAAAATGTACTGAAGATCCAGTTAGGTGCCTGGGATATGATGCTGTGATCCGAACATGGATGGACCTTGAGGGCATTATGCTAATGAAATAAGCCAGACATAGAAAGACAAATCTACATGATATCACTTGTATGTGGAATCTGAAAAAGCTGAACTCATAGAAACAGACAGTAGTAGAATGGTGGCTACCAAGACTGGGGGTTAGGGGAAATGGGGAGATGTTGGTCAAAAGGTATACATTTCCAGTTATCAGATGAACAAATTCTGGGGTGACAATGTACATCATGGTGATTGTGGTTAATAATACT